AAACAATGTCTCCAACAACAAAATAACAGCAAAAGAGAGACAGAGAAAGAGAGAGAGAGAGAGAGAAAACGGGCGGGGTAAGAAAGAAGGGCGGGAAGGGAGGCGCCGGCTGCCGCCTGCACATGCCTTCATCGCACAACCATCCAGCCCCCCCCCCCCGCACCCCTGGATCGTCGGCAATGGGGGAACAAGCAATGGCACAAACATAAAAGCTTTGAGGTCCGCATGGACTTCTCGGACTGGCGCTGGAACCCTCTCCCCGGCGCGCGGAGCGCGCCAGGGGCGGCGCCGCCAGATGACCCCAGCCCCGATCCGAGGAATCCGCGCGGACCTCTGTGTTGTCATGTTCATGACATTACTTGTGGCCCCCAATCCAGGACCAAGGCTGGAAATGCTCTTGAACTGCTTTCGTTACTGAACGCCTTCTGGTCTTGGATCTCCTGCAGGGCCCTAGAAGTCTGCCAGATCTTATGATGCTCAAACCCACTTTAGCCTGATCACCAGACATCAATTCGAGCACCAAGGAAGTGCCAAAACCGGAAGGCTTTCACATGTCGCGCCCTGGGAGGCGATACTCGTTCGACACTGTTTCGATACTCTTCTGGGTGCTCGAAATCATTTCTGGGATGTGGCCCTTGAGTACGATGGGAGCAACTAAGTTTAAGTCGGACCTGTCCCCCTGAAGGGGGATTCTGAACGAAAAAACATACTCAAACAATGCCCTAAACATGCAGAAACATAGGTAACACATCGTCCCCGGCTTATCTTTTCACTACTTTTAAACATTCCTCCTGTCGAGGACACGCCCGACCTAAAACTAAAACAGACCCTGGTCTCGCAGCCAACCAGACCGTGTGCGGGCGGGGGGGGCGCGCAGAGGCGGGCGGGCGGGCGGCAGAGGCGGCGTGCCCGTCAACGCCAGGCCCAGCGCGGACCCGACCTTCGCTCCCGGCAGACACCCGTCGGGACTCCCACCGGAGGTGCGAGGAGGAGGAGGAGGAGGAGGAGGAGGAGGAGGAGGAGGAGGAGGAGGAGGGAGGAGCGCGTATGGGAGGAGGAGGAGGAGAGGAGGATGAGGAGGATGGAGAGGATAGAGGAGGAGGCGGAGGAGGAGGAGGGGGAGGGGGAGGGGGAGAAGGATGGGTAGTGAGGACGAGAGGAGAGGCAGGGAGGAGGGGAGGAGTCGGAGGAGCGAGGAGGAGGAGGAGGAGGAGGAGGAGGAGGGAGGAGGCAGGAGGAGAGGAGGAGGAGGGGAGGAGGAGGAGGAGGAGGAGGAGGAAAGGGAGGAGTGGGAGGGGAAGGAGGAGGAGGAGGAAGAGGAGGAGGATGAGGAGGAGGCTGGGCACAGCCCATGCCAGGGGAACGAACAGCGACATCAGCATAAAAAATCGGAGGTCCGCGCGGATTTATCGGGTCGGCGCCGGGGCCCCCTGGCGGCGCCTCCAGCGCCACCCCTGGCGCGCCCCGCGCGCCAGGGAGGGGGGTCCAGCGCGGATCCAAGAAACCCGCGCGGACTTCTGAGTTTTTATGTTTATGTCATTGTTTGTTTCCCTGCATGCATGACCACGGGAACCTGGATAAAGGGGCCCCAGGACACACAAATAAATACACACAAGTAATCATATTCCCCACATCTTCCCATATATTCTGGGTTTCTGTCTTGCCCCCCACTTCCCATATTTTCCCATATTTTCATGGGAGTCGACGATGAATTGCGTCTGTGCTTTTTCCCCTCCTGATGCATGCATGGCCACGGGAACCTGGATCAAGAGCAGGAGAGCCCCCTCGCCGAGAGACCCGGGCCCCATCCCACGACGAGTCAGAACAGGAGGCGGGCCTCGCAGGCCTGCAGGGCAGAGGGGCTCCCCTGCCGAACCCGTGTTGCCATTACCCCTCGTGCTGGCTGAAAAGGAAGGCTCGCGCCACGATGGATCTGGCGGTGGCATCGCGTGGACCTCTCAAGCTCGAAATGCCGCGGCCTCCCGATTCGATGGCGCGGATCGGCCAACGTCGGCCCAGCCGGGGCTAATTACTGGCAACCTGCCACCGCTCGGGCGTCCGCTCCCTGCTCACTTTCTGGTCTCGTGCGTTCTTTTGTTCGCAGGCTGAGGAGAAGAAAACGGCATGAACATGAAATTCTGGCGCCCCGCGCGGACTTCTTGGATCTGCGCTGGCCCCCACCCTCCCTGGCGCGCGGAGCGAGCCAGGGGCGGCGCCGGAGGCGCCGCCTGGGGGGCCCAGCGCGGACCCAAGAAATCCGCGCGTAGCGCCAAAATGTTCTTCTTCTTCTTCGAGGAGGAGGAGGAGGACGACGAGCAGGAGGAGGAGAAGGAGGAGGATGTTCTTCTTCGATGTTCCAGAGGACGCCCCTCGATGGGGCCCCGCCCAGCAGAAGCTGCACCGCGCCCGAGCGATGCCACCGGCAGCGCTCCAGCGCTCGGACGCCCGCGCCCGGGGGGGGCGCTGCGCATCGAGCGCCGAGTGCGCGGCGCAAGCGCGAGCCGCGGCTCGAAGACAAGACTCGCGAAGGGTCGGGCTCCTCCTCCCCCTCCCCACCCGCAAACAACAAGAAAACCCACCGCCCGAAGAGAACGTAATGCCAATCATGAATTCTAGACCCGACCTACGCCAGAAATTCACTACAGCTAAGCCCTAAAGCAGGCATCATCAATCAGACCTACGTCCGACTACCGCTACTCTCCTCCCACTACGCCTCCTCCCCCTCCTCCCTACATCTCTCCTCGCCTCCTACCACCTCCTCCCTCCCTCCTCCTTCCTCCTCCTCCCTCCCTCCTCCTCCCTCCTCGCGGGCGCTCGGAGGCAACCTGCAGAAGCTGCCTCCTGCCAGCCTCGCTCCGCTCGGAGATGAGCGGCGAGCCCAGCGAGAAGGGTCGGGCAGCGCTGACGCTCGGAGGCAGCTGCAGAAGCTGCTTCCTGCCAGCCTCGCTCCGCCGGGGCAGTCGGCGAGCCCGGTGGGGGGGGAGAAGTGAGAAGGGGCAGGCCTTCTCAGGAGGCGGCCATGCTTCGCAGAGGCCCTCGCGCCTCCTAAGGATTGTTCTGTATCTTCGGGGAAGGCTGCAGAAAACTTCTGCGAAGGCCAGAGGCCTTCCGAGCCTTCGGGGAAGGCCCGCTCCCTCTCACTTCCCCCTCAGGTGCACCGCCGAAACTGGCCGGCCCAACGGGCCAGAGGCGTGCTAAAATCTCGGGCCGGAGTCTCAGAATGTTCCTAGATCGCGCGCGCGTGGCGGCCCCTGGGGTCCCCGGAAGAGAAGGTACCCGGGCAACGTCCCGGCAGGTCCCCGGCAAGACTGGGTCACGGATGCCGGAGCTCCTGGGCGCAGCCCTGGGGGCCCCTGGAGCGCCCCGGGAGCGTCCCAGGGAGCCGCCAAACGGGTGGCAGGCCCCACGGCCTCAGGCCAAGAGCATTCCAAGATGGCCGAAGTCGGTCTCAAGACGACGGCCCAAGAGGCGACCAAGACACCCCAGGAGGGCTCCAAGACGACCCGAAGAGGGGCCGTCCAGGCAACATTCCTTGATTTTGCATGTTTTTTGATGGATTTTGGCGTTACCGCCTTTTCAGACTTCCGACCGCCCAGGACGGCCCAAGAGGCCTCCAAGACCACCCCGATTCAGCCCAAGAGGCTCCCAGGACGGCCGCCAGAGAGTCCAAGAGGGCCCCAAGACGGCCAAAGAGGCCTCCCCAGAGTACTCCAGAGGCTCCCATGAGGGCTCCACGAGGGGCAACCAGAACAGACATATCGAGCCTTCCTCAAAATTTGGCCCCCAAGACCGCCAGCAGGCCACCAAGCAGCCCTCAAAAGACCACTAGAAGACCAAAGGGATGTCCCACGGGGCCCCCAAGAGACCCCATGAGGTCCTAAAAACGCCGCCAGGATGCCCCCAAAAGTCATCCCAAGCGATCCTAAGAAGCCTTTCAACGAGGCGCATTGACCGCGACCCAGTAATGACCCAAAGCGCCGTCGAGAGGCCTCCTCCTCCGCCTCCGAAAAATGGCAGCCGCCCAACCGCACTGCATTGACAACAACATCCCGACAAACGACAGCGGCGAGGCAATATGGGCCGGCGGAATGAGCGAAGCGATTCACTTCGCCGGCCCCTTTCTGGGGCCACCAGGCTGTAGGGCGAGTGCTGTTCCCTGCGCCAGATTTAGTTTCCAGTTTTCACTGTTACAGTATTGCTCTATGCTGCTTACTGTTCCTTGTTGTAGACCGCGCGAGGGGGGGGAGCCGAAAACTACCAAATTTAGTGTCTCATGGGAGGGTTCTCAAAATTTCTGGGGGGGTCGAAATTGACACCCCTCACTCAGATCGGCGGGGTCAGGGTCGAAACACCAATGCGATCTTCCACATGTTTGAAATTCGGCGGCACCCCTCACGCAGATCAGCGGGGCCAGGGCGAAAAACCCATGGGATTTGCAACATTTCTGAAATTCGGCGGCACCCCTCACGCAGATCGGCGGAGTCAGGGTCGAAAAACCAATGGGATTTGCCACATTTCTGAAATCCAGTAGCACCCCTCACGCAGATCGACGGAGTCAGAGTCAAAAAACCAATGGGACTTGCCACATTTCAAAAAAAAGGCGGCATCCCTCATGCAGATCGGCAGGGTCAGGGTCGAAAAACCCATGGGATTTGCAACATGTCCGAAATTATGTGGGAAACCTCAGCGCACAGCATACGGAGGCAGGTTCAAAATACAACGCTGAGTTCAACAATATCACCAGAATCTGAATTTCTCTTGTCGATGCTGCTTCACGGCGGCGCCTAGGCCTCATGATTTTGCTCTTGCATAGCCCATTATCCGAGAGAGGGGGCCGGCGGCAGCGGGCGAAGCCCTTACGGATAAAAGTACCCCCTAACCCTTTGGGAGGGGACCTAGGTCAGGAAGGCCAAAAACAGTAGGGATAAGGGGTCTTGTCTGCAGATGTATCAAACCAAACTGCCCGAATTCGTTATCCCTATAATGCGAAGACGGGGACCTAAGTGAAGCCACGTTTCCATAGTGTTATTAGGGTTAGGGGTTTTTGATGGTTGCCATTGCCCATCGCCAGATCTAGGTGCATGGAAATGTTTCCATGCCTCGCAATTCTAAATCCCTTTCCGGGATCGTGGGGCGATCATGATTCCGTTTTCAACTGTTTGTGTTGAGGTCGACCAAAACGGAAACAAAAAAACGGCGACCCAAAATAGAGCAACAAAAAAACACGACACCCGCCGGGCCCAACACAAGCGGAAAACGGCAAAGTAAAACAGTATAAAACATTGGAACCCCGAACAGAAAACGATCAACAGAGACGGAAAACATAAAACAACTCCAATTTTATCACAATCAGCACCGTATCACAAAACAACCGACAACGGCGAGACTGCAATCCAAAACTGACAAAACACGGCGCCGATGGCATGATATACTCACACATGCGCGTCGACCTCGTGAAAGCAAAGCGTTGTAAGAGCATCTAAGCCCCCTCCTCCTGTGAATGTGATCGTCCTCCCTGGGAGGTGGGGAGGAAGAGAAACGACACGGATGGGTACGATGCCCAACAACAAATGTTGTCCCAAACCAACAGCGGCCGCTGTTGGGCAGGCGGCCCTCTGTCTCGAATAGACACAGGCCGCGGCGGCGTGGACGGCGAGTCCTGCTCAGAACGAACAGGAACTGCTGTTGGGCATTGCACCCATTCTCTCCGTACCTATCTCGGGCGTCCAGTAAGAGCATCTAAGCCCCCTCCTCCTCTGAATGTGATCGTCCCCCCTGGGAGGTTGGGAGGAAAAGAAACGACACGGACCTGCGAGAAACGACACGGACCGGCCCACCCTCTGGGACGCCCGGTGCCCGAAGTGGAGTGGAGACGCACGTCGTGGCCCCCCCAGAGGCCCAAAAGGACGAGGCCCGAGGGAAGGGCACCCCGCCTCGGAG